GTTGTAAAGGGAAGCAGCTGAGGAATCTCTCTCCTTCACAGAGAAGTTACGTTAGTTAGGCAGAACTTACTTCATCTCGATGAAGTCGCCATTGTGACTCGTGCAGGGGTCAAGGGAAAACTTCCAATTCAACCCCCTGAAGGTTCTCTGAATAATTAACTAATAAGCAGAGATTAATATGAAGAAAAGGCATAACAAATTCCATTATTTAATGTGCTGGGAGAGGGCAATGCACAGGAGAATCATATGAGACTAGTTCTCCAATTTTCCAGTGGCATACAGAGCTTATATACCCTCTTCGTAGGAAAGGAAAAATGGGGGTGTAGTAGTAAATGATCCTTGGGGGGACGCATTAGGCCTGGAGAAAATGCGGTGGCCTGGGACAAAGTCTATTTAGTCAGCAGAGCAATGACTGGTAAGTGATTCTCTTTAAAATACTGAATGAGACTGAAATAGAAGACAATGGTCTGTGACAAAAGCTTGTCTGGATGTGTTGACAGACTTTAGTTTTTCTTTCTGTGATAGAAGTTAATGAAAATTCAGGGAAATTACCAGAGGTAATTGTCTTCTTCTCTGGTGGGTCCTGACTTTAGGCAGATTAGGGAGCAGCTTCATCTGCTGCTTTATTCCATCACGTCAAAACACCATATTCTGGGGTCACAGCTTTCTGCACCACAACACCAGGAACTTCTTTCTGCCATTCTTTTACTCTAAAAAAGGATCTATATGGGTGATTCTAAAGATTTAAGTGGTTTAACAGTGTATAAAATGAGAAGTTAGGCTCCTTCTCATCAGACTCCCATCTCGCCCCCTAGAGGCAAACACTGGTAAGTTACTGTGGTCTCCTCGGGGAGGTATTCTGACTATATACCAACATATATATACTTACGTTGCTTGGCAATGACTTGTCCACTGAAAAATATCTCAAAGATCTTTCCAGATGAGCCCACAGAGCTCTTTTTAATGACTACATAAAGTATTGTGTGGTATTCCATAATTTAGTAAGCCAGTTCCCTATTAAGATGTTTAGTGAGTTTCCAGTCTTTGCTCATACCAGGATGCTGCTATGAACATTCCTGGGTCACTGCTCTTGGTCACATATGGATATGTATAATTCCCATAGGTGAATAAGAATAGGGTATGAATAGTACCTTATGGAATATCTTTT